TAATAAAAATCAGAACAAAAGTAAATAAAACAAAGACAAAAATAGAAAAAAGCAATAAAACTGAGAGTTGGATTTTGGAAAGTTAAATAAAATTGACAAACGTTTGGCTAGCCTAAGAAGGGAGAAGACAAAATCAGAAATGAAACAGGAGACATTACAACTGATATGACACAAATACATAAGATCATAAGATGCTTATGAACAATTAAATGCCAACAACAGCAAAATATTATGCCTGCAGTCTCAGTCACTCAGTCATTGAGGTGGGAGGATCACTTGAGCCCAGGTGTTCAAGGCCTGGAAAACATGATGAGACCTGATCTATCAAAAAAAAAAGAAATGAAAAAAAGAAAAATCAATAGTGTTTCTATACACTAATAGTGAACTATCTGAAAAGAAATCAAGAAGAAAGCAATTCCATTTATAGTAGCTACAAAAAAATTAAATACTTAGGAATAAATTTAACCAAAGAAATGAAAGACTTCTACAAGAAAATCAGTAAAACACTGATGAAAGAAACTGAAGAAACAAACAAATAAAAAGATATCCTGTGTTCCTGGATTGGAAGAATTAATATTGTTAAAATGACCATACTATCCAAAGCAAACTACAGACTCAATACAACTGCTATTCAAAATACCGATGATATGTTTCATAGAAATAGAAAAACAATCCTAAAATTCACATGGAAACACAAAAGATTCTGAATAGCTAAAGCAACCTTGAGCAAAAGAATAAAGCTGGAGGCATCACACTACCTAACTTCAAAATATACTTCAAAGCTAAAGTAGCATAAAGAGTATGGTTGATGAGGTTTGGGCTTAAGATAAAGATTTATAAAAAAGAGATGGCTTCCAGGTTCATCCATGTCCCTACAAAGGACATGAACTCATCATTTTTGATGGCTGCATAATATTCCATGGTGTATATGTGCCACATTTTCCCTGTCCAGTCTATCATCAATGGGCATTTGGGTTGGTTCCAGGTCTTTGCTGTTGTAAACAGTGCTGCAATGAACATTCGTGTGCATTCTCAGCAAACTGACACAAGAGCAGAAAATGAAATACCACACGTTCTCACTCATAGGCGGGTGTTGAACAATGAGAACACATGGACACAGGGAGGGGAGCACTACACACTGGGGTCTGTTGGGGGGAAATGGGGGAGGGACAGGGGAGTGGGGAGGTGGGGAGAGATAGCATGGGGAGAAATGCCAGATATAGGTAAAGGGGAGGAGGGCAGCAAATCACACTGCCATGTGTGTACCTATGCAACAATCTTGAAAGTTCTTCACATGTACCCCAAAAGCTAAAAAAAAAAAAAAAAAAAAAAAATCTAAAAAAAAAAAAAGAGCTGGCATAAAAATTTCCCCCTGTGGGAAAGTTAGACCTTTAAGTGCTGAAAAACTTTTACTAACCAAACACCTCACAATAAACTGGAATTATGCGTGGTGCATCTGCCCTGCGGGTACCGCTTTAACTGGTGTAAAAACAGACACACAGACCAACAGAGCAGAATGCACAGCCCAGGAATAAATCCACACACTTAAAGACAACTGATTTTTGACAAAGTTACCAAGAATACACAATAGGAAACAGTCTTTTGAATAAATGGTGTTGGGAAAACTAGATATCCAAATGCAGAAGAATGAAATTATGCCCTTTTCTTACACAGTATACAGTCATCAATTCAAAATGGATTAAACAAGTAAATGTAGACCTCAAACTATGAAACCACTAGAAGAAAACATAGAAGGAAAGCTCCACACCATCAGACTTGGCAATGGTTTTTTTGATATGACACCAAAAGCACAGGCAACAAACGCGATAATATACAGGTAAGACTACATCAAAATGTAAATATCCTGCACAGCCAAGGAAACAATCAATAGAGTGAAGAGACACCTACAGGATGGGGGGTAGTATCTGCAAACTATTCATCTGATAAAGGGTTAATATCCAAACTAAGGAACTCAAACAACTCAATAGCAAGAAAACAAATAACCTAAGTAAAAATGAGCCAAAAATCTGAATACACATTTTTCAAAGACATGCAAATGGCTAAAAAGTACATGAAAAAAAATGCTCAATATCACTAATTACCACAGAAATGCAAATAAAAACCACAATGAGATATCATCTCATACCACACTTAGAATGACTATTATCAAAGAGACAAAAGATAACAAGTGTTGGCAAGTATGTAGAGAAAAGGGAACCTTTGCACCTTGTTGGTGAGGATGTAAATTAACAACAGCCATTATTGAAAGCAGTATGGAGTTCCTTAAAAAATTAAATATAGAACTACAGGATCATATGATCCTGCAATCTCACCGCTGGAATGTGTGTGTGTGTGTGTGTGTGTGTGTGTATACATATATATACATATATAAAATGAAATCAGTATGTCAAAGAGGCTTGTGCATTCCCATGTTCATTATAGCAGTATTCACAATAGCCAAGATATGGAATCAACCTAAGTGTCCACCAATGCATGAATAGAGAAAATGTGCTATACATACACAATAGAAAACTATTCAGCTGTAAAAAAGAAGAAAATCTGTTATTTGCAACAACATGAATGAAATAAGCCAGGTAAAGACAAATACTGAATGATCTCACTCATATGTGGAATCAAAAAAAGTTGAGCTCATAGAATCAGAGAGCAGAATAGTTTGGGGGTGGGGTATGGTTTGGGGAGATATTGGCCAAAGGACTCAAATTTTCAGCTCCACAGGAGGAATAAGTTTAAGAGCTCCACTGTATAACATGATGACCACAATTAATAAAAATATATTCTTGAAAAATACTAAGAGAATAGATGTAAAATATTCTCACCACAGAAATCATAACTATGAGATGTATCATGTAAATTAGCTAGACTTAGTCATTCCACAATGTATATATACTTTAAAACATCATGTTGTACATGATACATATAATTCTGTAAATTTAAAAATAAATAAATGTTTTAAATCACTGAATTGTACACTTTAGAAAAGTGAATTTACGGTATGTAAATTACATCTCAATAAAGCTGCTAGCCTGGCATGGTGGTTCATTCCTGTAATCCTAGCACTTTGGGAGGCT